GACCCTAGCGGGGGCTCTTGAGGTTCCTCTGCCCATGGTGCCTGACTCCATTTCAGTAACTCGGGTTGGTTTAGAGACTCCATATATACCTCTGCCTGGAATGGTTCCTGATGGGCCACATATGATGACAGGTGCGTATGTTGGGGGTAATGGTGGTGACCTGTTAATAAATTTTGGGGAAGGTTGCTTTATGAACCTTTATCTGTTGGTGAATGCAAGGGTCATTCATATTTTTCTGGTCCTAGTAGTGAGAGTATAATTCATGGGGGTGATTGTGTTGGATTTAAAAATAATGGGTCTGACATGAAAACTATGCGAGTAGATCCTTGTATATTAAATCTTGTTTTCCGTACACGTATCACCGGTAATGGGTTTGACGTCGGTGATTATGTGTGGGTGGTCTTGCCAACGGACAAATTTTCGGCTAGTGCGTATACCAAGTTGTCGGTTCGAAAAATTGGCCCGGTCGCAATTGTGGAGAAGATTAACCCTCATGCGTACCGTCTTCGTCTACCGTCGTACTTACGCACGTCTGACGTGTTCGACGTCACACATTTGGTGCCAAATCTAGGTGACAACTCGGATGGAGACGAGCTCGAATCGGATTCGGGGGCGAATCTTTCTCAACCGGGAGAGGATGATGGAGACGAGCTCGCAATAACTTTCTTGGAGAAATATGACCGAATCCCGGCTCTAACTTAATTACTTACTTGCATAATTATTATTATTATCTTTCCTTAGTTATTTTGTTAGGAGAATAATTATCTTTTGGAATAATGACTTGTTTAGCAAGATAGGAATTTAGTGGGATGAGGAGTCTATTTATTCTCTTAGTTGTGGCTTGAACGAGCAGATTTGATGAAATAGAAAAATATCTGCTTGAGATTTTATCTCTTTTCCCTTTCGTTCGAAGCTGCGCTACATCAGAAATCGAGCTCGAGCTCGACTTGTTAAGGCCTTGAACTCGAGCTTTATCGAGTCGATCTCGACCTATAACGAGTCGAACTATAAAATATTATATAATTTTATTTTTCTTTTTCGAGCCTTATCAAGTCGAGCTAACCAAACAAGCTTTAAATAAACTCGAGCTCGACTCGTTAAGACCTCGAACTCGAGCCGAACTCGAGCCTTAACGAGTCGAGTTGAGTCATACTCGTTTAATAAGTTAACAGCACTATGGAGGAATAATAGCTCGCTCGATAATATAGGCTAGATGATATAACATGTCGAGTAGCACGTGTGGGCCGGTCTCTCAGATAACTCGAGTAACATGGTCGTCAAACATTATAGCTCGAATTTTATACGGTGACCTCTAGGTAGCTTGTGATATATGCTAATGGTCTACGACATGTTTCCGACCTATAGACAATGCTTATGATGGACCTGTGGACAATTATGTTGAGGACCTCTGGACAACACATATGATTGACGATGGTAGTTTATAGGATATCGACCTAAAGATAGTGAATCTAATTGGCCGTTTACGTGGGCAATTCACATTGATGAGTTGTGTAGAAGTACTATTGACTTTATAAGACCTTAAGAGTATATAAGGTTGCCATTTTACTGATAACGTGTAGGATTATCTTGGAAGACTCTACATCACCTTAAAAATAAGATTGACCATCGATAGACTTTGGGCAATAAGATAATAGTCGGACAGTCCTCTAGATCGAGCAGATCTTGTGCAATAAGGCAAACTACTATATATAGGTCTCAGTATGGAAGGGTAGGGGATTCTCTCTCTAGCTTTTCAATACACTGACATATTTATCACTCTATAATCTAAGAACTAATTTAATCGTTGGGAGTCTACCGCCGGGCACACTCTCATGTTTTGCAGGAAGTTCCAGAGGTCAAAACGGTTCGAGATCATATGAAGGGTGGTTCGAGGAGGAATTGTTCATCATGTATCCCCAGGCTTACTTTTAACTTAATCATAATCCACAAAGAAATAAAACACCAAATGCAAACTATGCAGCTCTGATTAATTCCACTTGTAAAATGGAAAAATCCCACTGCAACTCTTAAAGTATATGAAGATGTTGAAATAGACGTCCAACATTACATTGATGCAGAGGAAAATACATTGTGCACACAAACAAAATCTAAGGTATAATCTCTTCAATCCAAAATTTCACCCAGCAAGGGTAACACCCATTTCCATAAAAAGATTATTATGATTTACTGTCGAATAGCGAGACATTTATTACAACACGAAAGTTGTCTATTTTGACTTCGGCCGATCAAGCAAAGCATTCTTTTCTGTAATTCATCGATAAGGATCATTTGTTGTCATTATTTCTTGTCCAGCAATAAGGACGTGCAAGACAAAAGTGACTGTATTTCATCTTCTGTTGCTAGACCAAAACCTTGCCACCGTATTCTACCAAGGTTGTCCAGTAAGAAAACATACCTGCAAACATCAGTTTTATCTTGATTTAGAACTATTATGCTCGATCAATGGGTAAAAAAGCAAATTCTAAATTTGATACCCTGTAAGAAGATTCAGTATTTTTAGCTCCTTCCTGAAATAATAATGATCACCGAAAGAATAAACTATCCGCCTCTGAAGGACATTTTGCTCTCCCTCAGGTTTAGGTTTTCTCATGATCTTAAGGAGTAGCTTCTTTATAGGACTACGAGTCAATAGCCATGAATCAATGAAAGACACCTAAACAAAGAGATTAGAGAAACCTTCAGTAGATAACAAATTAATGAAATTCCAATCACGACATGTTTACATAAAGTTGAATGATTCCCCCATACGGCAAGGTGGCACATTTTCTTCAATTTAATATGAGGCCCCACTCGATTTTTATACGAGATGATCGGATCACATTTATGTCATAATATCAAATTTTGGGTTGTCAGCTACACGTACGAAAGGAAGCTGGACTAGTCGTTCAGATCTTTATTGTGGTCTAGAATAGAGATGATTATCATCCATTAAGAAATAATATCATCAACATACCAGTATATTCCCAACAGGTTGGGGTCTGGGGGGTCAGTTGTACGCAGACCTTACCCTTGTAATTATACAAGGAGGTTGTTTCCATAGCGACCCAAGGTGCGTTGCGTCGTTTGATATATTTTTTTTCTAGAAACTTCACTAATAGAAGAAGCACTAGAATTTAATTGAGCCATTTTGATCTAGTCCATTATTAGCACTATGCCAGGAGAATTGTCAACAATGACTCTTCCAGCTCCATATGCAATGGACACCCATTAAGAAATAATATAATAAAGAAATTTAGGATGGAGTTTGGATTGATATTAAGTGATTTTTTAAATCAATAAGAAAGAAAAACTTGCTTTATTTCTGTGCAACAAAAAGAGATTGAAAAAGATATATAGGGCATCCTACCAAATTTTGCGGGGCTACCTACTGCAAGCAAAGGCTTGAGGGGGAAACATGAGAGGGAATAACCATTTTTTACTGTTTCTAAATTAGTTTGATTCTCGCAGTCGTAGAACGATGTCGGCCATGTCACAAAACCATTAGCAGCAAAGCACACGGGACAGATCCTTTCATAGTTAAAGAGTCCATCCTAATTTAGCTAGGGTTGAGAATATCCATTCGCCCCTTACTACATTTTGGCAAATAGGTAATAGAAAGAATAAAATGTAAAGCCTAAAACTGTGGCCTTTTCTATCAGACAAATAAAGCAACTGAAAAAGATGGGATACCTCATATAACTGAACATCATTGGAATTACCAAAAGTATTAAGAAATGGTGCGCTCCAGGAATCAACCATATGCTGCATGATTACAAAAGAAACGCAATTCAGAACGGACAAAGTCAACAACATAATTCTTGATCAAGTTGTAAAATTTTAAATACTTTAAAGAATATTTTCTTGCATCAAGGTGGGGTGTTAGAGGGAAGAGTTAACCTTTTACAAAAATTCAGGTATCATTGTATCATCCTAACCATTCAACTGAGGTACAATAGAACCTGATGTTTAATGGAAGCTTATAAGTTGACCAGCAAATACCAGACACAACCTTTCACTTTTTGCATGAATTATCGACCAATTGTAACACGTTCAAAGTGAACAAAAATCTTCATCCAAACAAATACAAACAAAAATGGAATTGATTCTCATTTACGCACTTTGACTTCTCAGCAATTGCCAGTTTCAACAATTGTTCATATTTTCGGCTGTTCTTACTGTCTCGCCTAGCCTTTTCACACTTAGCTACATAATATATGATGTTAATGGTATTATAAAGCTAAAGCAAGCTGAAAAAATAAATAAAAAAATAAAAATAAAATAAAGCATGAGTGCCACTTCGAAACGAGAAATGGAGAAAATATCTAACTAAAACATACACTAACAAAGAATAACATATGTTATATGTGCTGCTAAATACATTGTATGCAATGCCATATTATACACTGACACAATATGTTATACGTAATGCTACTACATGCGTAGCAATCACACTGCTAAAACTAAAATTGTACACTGCTAATGTAGTAGTATGTTCAGTGATCAATTTAATTTTAGCAGGATTCCTAGTTCTACGTTAAGACTGATCCCGAACAGATCCCAACCCTATATATTGTGTACAGTGTATATTTATGTATATTTTCACCTGTGAGCTAGCTCGAAATGACAAACACAATAACGATGCCTTGGGGATATCCGACTTGGTAACATCCACATCTTTTGCATCAGAGGTTACAGGCAGCTTAAGGCTAGTACCATCCGAGTTGTTAACTTCGATTGTAGGAAATTTTACTGCTGCCATTGATGGAATTATAATCTTATTCGCCACTGCTATCTGCATATCATGAGACTCAGAAAAAATCCACCACCATTCGAAAACTCCACAAACCTCAGCCATCCAACACAAAACCATCCACAGGTAAATTACGTAAAATGCCTCATTGGTTTAGTCTAATTACAACACAATCCAATGTACTTTTTAAAAATTAAAATTAAAAATACCCTTTATACGTCTGTTTCATTTTTCACAAAAGTAAATGTTACCTCCAGTCATTTCTGGATATCTAAATTCTAATACGATAATATTCATACCAACAACAGTCCTCAAAACATGAATCCAGCCAAGTTCACCAACAGCATACCTTCCCACCATGTTGCTTCATTTCCGACATGTCGGCAAAGTAACCCCTGCTCATCTCATCTTTACTGTCCTAAATCACATATAACCGCTTGCATTCGCATTTAAATAATTAAACAAAATGCAGCTTCACAGTGAAACTCAAAGAAAATGTGAAGTAGCTAAAGAGTGAACACAAAAAACTACAATTACTCACAGTCGAGCTCGTTCCTTCTCGATTGCCTGCTTGTTGCCCATCTACGATCAAGATAACCAAAACAGAAACAATCAATGGCGTCAGTACAAAGTTCCTCACAACAAATCACACAAAAACAAAATCCAAAATCAGCCTCAATCGATTTAGATACCGTAATTAACATCGCCCAAAATAAAAGAAGAAGAACAGGAAAAGAACCGACCTGGTAAATGTCAAGAAAGCGAGTGGAAGTCCATTGACAAGGATGGTTTGAAGGTATCTTAGGGTTGGACAAATTTCTGCCATTATAATTTCGTGGTGCTATTGAAAAAAGCTTCCTGAATCTTAGCATTTTCAGGAGATTTTGTTTTCCTTCGTCTTCCTCTGTCGACTGTGTTCACCCGTCTGCGACCGACTGTAGATGTGAACTCAATTGTCCCTGGGATTTTGTTCATTCATTTTGCATACGTTGGGCTTCGTGAGCTTTTTTATGTTAAGCCCAAGGACTAAAGAGCGTAGTACAAACGGGAAATTTACATACTTATACCCTATATAAGAATTATTTAGAAATATACCATCTGTGTAAATTTTTATCATTAAGATATTTAGTGGACGTCTTTTTTTCACTAAGAGAGTTTTTGTCTCTCCCCAAGATTTCTCTCTTCAATTAGAATACATCTCTCTCTCCAATCCAAAATCATGTTTTTAATTGAATTGATTTCTTTCTCCAATTAGGATATGTCTATCTCTCTCTCTCCAATCCAAAAGCATGTATTTAATTGAATGACGGCTAAATATGTTTCTTTCTCCAATTAAAAACCATGCATCTAATTCATTTAGAGCTAAAAATTCGCAAGCAAAAAAAAAAAAAAAATCACAAACTAAAAAAAAAGTAACAAATCTAAAGCCTAGAATTTATGGATTGTAAAGGAAAAAATTGTTCTTCGCAATTTGTATATATATATTGTATATATACGTTAGATAAACATGATCTGACAGTTCTTCGCGATTTGTGTATACAGTTTTGCTATGGAGTCATCGGATGGCTCGGCTTATGGAGCAATCCACACTTATTCACCAATAATGTATTGACATGTGTCCTACAATAAATACAACTTGGACATATGTCAATATATTAACCGATGGATGGCTCCATAAGAAAACAATCCGATTGCTCCATAGAATTTTTGTTTGTATATAATATACTGTATATATACGTAAGATAAACATGATCTGAAAGTGCTCTAAGATTATTATACATAAGATAAACAACACTAAAACGAGATGAAAACATAATATACAATTTTGAATGGATTGGAAAGAAACAAATTATTCTTCGCAATTTGTATATATATATATTATGTATATATATATATACGTCAAATAAACATGATATGACAGTGCTCTACAATTATTATACATAAGATAAACAATTATTATACATAAGATAAACAATACTAAAACGAGATAAAAACATACTACACAATTTTGGATGACTGCAAAATCCAAAATGAATGTAGTTATACATAAGATAAACAACATATATTTATTTTACATGACATTTATAAAGTTCAACCAACAACTTTCCGCACTCAAAAAAAAAAAAAAAACACAGTACAAATTATGTATAACTAACGTATAATTTGTTTATATGTTTACTACACTCCTTCGTGGTGACGCGCACATATCGGGAATTAAGCTTATCATCTTCGGTCATCGCGCACAGTGTTGTGTTAATGACTGAAAAGTTGTGCAAAAGTCATAGTCTTCTTGCTCATTTAATTCAGCTTTGCTTTCGGTTTGTAGTGATATTGTTAAACTGAAAAACTGTGCGTATGTTCTTGATGTTCTTCTTTTAGTTAGCTTTGTTAGCCTAGAGGGCTTTGAGGTTGTTGCCCCCGTAGTGTCCCATCTTACCTGTCGTCGGCAGGGTGGAACCATTTGTATAACCAGATTATCCGTTTGTACATTCTCAAATTTGTTATATATAATTTATGTATTTCGAAGAAAAACGCATTTTTTTTAAAAAAATTCCTACATGTATTTGTTAGTTGTGCTGATATATGATTGTGTGCACATGCTGGAGAGATCTTATAGGAAAAAAAAAGTAAAGTGAAATTTTCTCACAACCAAAACTTGGAATATTGAACCAAAAAAAAATCATAGAATAAAAGATACATTTTCTTTTTTTTTTAAAAAAAAAAAAATCTCATTTTAGTTTTATCAACAATTAATCAAATAAATGACGTTTTGAAACTTTTGTACATATTTTCTTCTCATATTCCATTTTTATTTTTTCTCAAAACATCTACCTTTATCCTCTAACTTGCAGTTATCTCATATCT